GACCTGAAACAAAGAATTGTTACTCTACATAAAGATGGCCTAGGCTATAAGAAGAATGCCAAGACCCTGAAACTGAGCTGCAGCACGGTGGGCAAAACCATACAGCGGTTTCCCAGGACAGGTTCCACTCAGAACAGGCCTCGCCATGGTCGACCAAAGAAGAAGAGTGCACGTGCTCAGCGTCATATCCATAGGTTGTCTTTGGGAAATAGACGTATGAGTGCTGTCAGAGGTTGAAGGGGTGGGTGGGGCACTTTATTCTATATTTGATCTGAGTAAGATCCTTTTTATTGGACTTTTTTTTTACTGATATTTGGATTTTTCACTTATTTTATGTGTTGTGATTTTTACTTATTTTATGTTGTGATTTTTACTGCTCAATGTATTTTGTTATAAGAATTGGCGCAGCCCTTGCTTCTGTTTTTCTCACTATCTTTGTTTCCGAAGGGTTTGGAGGGATCTCCCTTCTAGGGTTGCTGCCCATCTGATAATTAGCGCTTACTTTTTTCTTCTGTTTTCTTATTATCTGCCTAGTTGTTTATTTCCTGATCAGAATAAGAATTCCCCAGGTCAGATATACTGACCTGTGTTTAAATTGAAGACAAGTTCTGTAAATAAGTTCCACTAGTGCTCCTAAGTGTTTTACACTGATTAAGTACGTTCTTGTCTTGACTTAATGTGAGCAGGTTAGGATTAGAGTGACCCAAGTCTTCTCTCAAGCAGACCCCTCAGGTCTGTTGATCTTTTTGTCTCTACTACTAATCCAGTTACTCAGAAACCTTACTGGATTTGCCCTAGATGTGAATGGACTAATCCTTGGTGGGAAGAAAAATTTTGAATTTGTGGGTTCCCTAGACCACCAGTTCACCAGCTTACTCATGCCCCACAGAGTGAAGTACCACCAAATCCACTTTTCCCGATAGTTCTCCATAGTGGAACCATTCTGGGTCCCCCTGACGCCTCTGGTCTCCCAGAGCCTGACCAATCTTGCATCATTACCATTGAACAAGATACAGACGCTGGTGCTGCTTCAACCCACCGTGCACACATGGGAAAAGTATAAGCCATGGTGAGCAGTTAGCTATAATCCAACAGCTACGTGATGTGGAAAAGGCTCCCCTGGAACTTGTACAATCTATAGATACTATACAGGCCACTTATCAGTGCGCCTGGAGAGATTTGAAGCAAATTGTTGATTTAAAGGCTGGCCCTATAATGGCAAAAATCATAGCCCAATATACTGACACCCATGAGGCAGACCTTAAAGCAGGTGAAGGTTACAAGCCTGAGTCATGGTTCAGGACTAAGTCCGCTTACGGTAAAGCATATGTAACAGCCTTAAAGGTCTGGGCTAAGGTTAAAGTTGAGGAATTAGCCCACAAGCTCACTGATATTGTGCAGGGCAAAGAGGAATCAGTGGAAAAATTCTTTGCCTGCCTTGAAATAGCTTGGGAATTACTGGGGTACTCAGAAACAGACCTCCTGTCTATCAGACATTTTATTAATTGTTTTTTTGAATGGTTTACACCCCTCCCCCCTGCGCACTGCATTACAGGCAGCGCGCCCTGAGTGGAGAGGGCTCAATTACTCTGATTTAGTTAAAGTAGCCATGGGGGTAAAGGCTAATTCTAACACATGCAAGAAACCAACAGCCCTAATGGCTGTGACTGCCCCCAGACAGGCCAATCGCCACCAGCAAGTAGAATGCTGGAACTGTGGCAGAAAAGGACACATCAAGCAAAAATGTAAATGTCCTTCTCGCTTCAAACCTGACTGTCACAATGCAGCAGCACCCCCGCATACCACTCCTTTACAAGATACTGCTGTTTCCCCATAAGCAATTGACAACCCAGTGTCCCTGCACGCTTTAACTATTCCCAAAATAGCTGGACCCTATCCCACTGTTAATGTTACATTACCAGGTGATAGAATAGTCCCTTGTCTGTTAGACACTGGGGCAGTCCGTTCTGTTGTGCAGGAGAAATACAGCTTTCCATTTGAGAAATCTGATGATGTGTTATCAAGTGTGGGTGTAGATGGGACCCCTGCAGAAACCCCTCTAACCCACCAGATGAAGGTTAAGTTCCATGATTTTACTTCTCTTGTTACCAGATTGCTTGTCAGTCCTAATGCTCCTGTTAATTGGCTAGGCAGTGATGTTTTGTCTGCTATTAATGCCAACATTCAGTTCAGTCCATCTGGAGAAATATTTTTGTCCCTGCCCCTAGAGGATAACTGCCTGATATCCCATGCCAATGTACTAGCGACTGTCACTTTGCCCAGCACTGTGACGGAACCTACCATTGACTTGACCTCAGTCCCTGACTCCCCACGGGCAACAGGGAAGACTGATACCGGCAGACTCTCTGTGCCACCAATTAAAGTGAATCTCCTACCAGGAGCTACCCCGCCCTGTCAGAAACAGTATCCCCTTATCCCAGCACAAGAAGATGCCATTTCACAGTCTTTTCAAGATTTATTACAGGCAGGTATAATTGTTGACACCACCTCCACTTGTAATACACCCCTGTATCCTGTTAATTAAAAAGAAACAGGAAAAAGGCAAGCCTTTGGTTTATCGTATGGTACATGACTTAAGGGAAACTAATGCTGTAACTGAATTGATTGCTCCCAATGTTCCCAATCCTCATACATTGCTTTCATAAATTCCACCTTCTTCAAAGGTGTTTACTGTCATTGACTTGGTAAATGCATTCTTTTCTGTGCCATTGCACCCAGACAGCCAATACCTTTTTGCATTGACCCACAGGCACAAACAATACACATGGACGGTGCTGCCTCAAGATGCTCAGAATTCACCTACCATATATAGCACGGCAATGGCCCAAATTCTAGAAGCTTGGCCAAGAGCAGATGATGTTGTGTTGTTGCAATATGTTGATGATTTGCTTTTATGTTGCCCAGATCAGGAATCATGTACACAGCACACCCTATCTTTACTAAAGTTTTGGCACAAGCAGGGTGCACTGCTACCAAGGCCAGACTGCAGCCATGTGCTCCCAATGTTATCTTTCAGGGAAACTGTATTTCTCATGGTACAAAGCATCTCACAGCAAGCAGGAAACATGCAGTTCAAAAGATTAACCCTCCATGCAGCTACGTACTTTCCTGGGCCTAGTATCTTATTGTCATCCATGGCGTCACTCTGCAGCAATCTACATGCAGCCCTTGTATGATTGCCTCACCCTTGACCCCTTTCATTTAACTCCTGAAGCAGAGGAAGCCTTTTACACTCTTAAGTTGCTTGTCACCTTAGCCCCGGCTCTAGGTCTCCCAGATTACAGGAAACCCTTCTGTCACCATCTACACTCCACATGACATTAACAGAATTTTGCCACAAGTTCAGCCCAAATACATCCATACATCTTAGGATGCAGTGTGCCCTACTTATGCCTTCCAATGTCACCCTGAAAATATGTATGGTGTTAAATCCATCTACATTGCTTCCCCTGGATTTAAAATAGGGGAGTAGTGATAGTAGCGGTTCTGATCTTTTTGTAAATTCTCTGTCACCAGATGAGTTAGCTGAAGCTCATGTACCCCATGACTGTGCAACAAGAGACAGCAGGTTTTTCGCATGTAATTGATTCTGTCTAATCCAGACTTTGAGTTTTTAGTAGACGGTTCCAGATATGCTAATGAGAAGGGAAATTTCCACACTGGATATGCTGTAGTCTCTGCACATGAGGTAATTAAAGTTGAACCACTCGCACCTCACTGCTCTGCACAGGAGGCTGAGCTGAAGGCACTCACTGAAGCGTGCAAACTGGCCTCTGGTAAGACAGCTAATATTTACACAGACTCTCACTGTGCCTTCAGTATAGCCCATGATTTTGGGCCTATATGGCGGGCTCATGATTTTCTCACCTCAGCAGGAACTCCAATCAAGAACTCTGAAGTCGTGAGTGCCCTAATGGACACTATCTTGTTACCTACTCAAATAGGCATCATCAAGGTAGGCAGCTCACAGGAAGATCACAGATGAAATTACAAGAGGAAACCACAAAGCAGATGAAGCTGCCAAGCAAGCAGCAATTCAACCTCATCTTTCCACACTCTCAAGTAATACCTTCCTACAGGTTGTCCTTCCAGAAAAGACTCCTGAGACTGGAGAAGCAGGCAGGCAAGGAAGAACAGGACCTCTGGAGGAAACATGATGCAGAACCTGATGACGACAGAAGGTGGAGGAAAGACTATGTCTACCACGAATATTGTGCCCTATGATGGCCCAAGTAGTCCATGGACCCACACATTTATCCAAGATTAACATGAACTGTATAGTAAATACCTATTGGGTGGCGCGTGGGTTTACTGTTATAGAAGCTAAGCACACTCAGGCTTGCATGATTTGTGCCAGAAACAACCCCGGACAGGCTGTCAAGACACCAGGTAAACATATACCAAGGCCACTTTACCAATTTCAGAGATTGCAGATAGACTATATGCAACTGCCTAAGGTAAGAGTGTAAGAATATGGTTTGGTGTGCATTGTTCTCTTTTCAGGTTGGCCTGAGGCCTACCCAGTGTCGAAAGCCACAACGAAGGTCACAGCAAGTAAGCTTCTGAAGGAACTGGTATATAGATATGGGGTACCTGAAGTGATTGAAAGTGACAGAGGTAGCCACTTCACTAGGGAAATAATGCAGGAAATAATGCAAGCACTAGGAATCAGTCAAGCCTTCCACACTCCTTACCACCCCCAGAGTAGTGGGAAAGTAGAAAGGGCAAATGGCACTTTGAAAAATATAATTGCAATGGCCATGCAAGATACAGGCTTTCCTGTCTCTTGCATGGCCATTGCAATTATATTTTTCAATATAACTGAATGCCTCCCTCTAGCGCTCTTCTCCATGAGATTTACCCCTCATCCCAGAAATGGTTTATCTCCCTTCGAAATTCTGTTTAGATGTGCCACAAAGACAGGACTCTACTTTCCTCAGACACTCCAATTGCAACACTGTAACCTGACCTCCTATGTCCAGGCCCTTCATAAGAAGTAAGGGCAGGTGCATAAGCAAGTGTTTCATTCCATTCCAGATCCAGACTCTGATTCTGCAACCCATAAACTACAGCCTGGTGACTGGGTAGTGATAAAGAGGCACGTGAGAAAAAGACTTGATCCAATATTTGACGGCCCCTTTCAAGTGCTGCTGACTACTGTTACATCTGTAAAGTTGGAAGGAAAGTCTACCTGGATACACGCCAGCCTCTGTAAACTGGTTACCCCAAACCAAGATCCACTATGAAATACCTGCTATGATCACTCATATACTTTCTTGTTGTGTGTTCAATAAGCAAGTGCTCTCAGAACTTGCTGTTCCAGAATAGGGAGGCTCAGGGTAACAATATATGGCTGCAAATTGCTAATGTCTTTAACATATCCTCTTTCTGCTTAGACCCTCTTCTTAGCACTGAACACACATTACAGTCTTGCCTAATAGCTGTTCCCACCCCTCTGATTGTCCTAAGAACCTATTTATATACTAGTTGGGACTCTTCACTCTTCGCAAATATGAGGGAATTCGCCAAACTTCCCTTTGGTGATACAAAACAACTCAATCTTGGATTCGCACCAGAGACTGAGTTCTACTAAACCCCTCTCTCATGCGCCTCCCTTTGCCCTCAGAACCTTGAATGTCACCGCAGCAGAAATCTGTTGGTCTTTTACTTGCAGTTGTCAGCAGCAGACTTATAAACGGAAGAAATATTGTCCCCCATTAAGAAACATTACTGACTGTAAACGCATTAAGACCTCTATGAATTGTCACAAAACTTACCCAGTTGTAAGTTATCACCAGCATATTCAGCTCCCTATAGGATGGACATTTTCCTGTGCCACCTCCCGCCTGACCATGACCATGTTCTCCAAATCTGACCTAACCGCTGAAGCCACCCAGTAAAGAAGGCCCAAACATAGTGTTACTAACTCCCTTACCCCTTATTGTGTGTCTGAAATTACCCTGTTATCTAAATCTGAATATACTGCCTTCGGAGTGTCCTTGACAGGGGTCCATGTATAATACCTGAGTAATAAATGCCTTGGCCTGTCACTCGCCAAAAAGTTTAAATGTCACTTCCTAGGCCCTGTTGGAACTCCTCATGGACACTCACACTAATAAGAAAGCTATACTTGAGAATAGGGCAGCCATAGATTACCTACTTCTAAAACATGATCTAGGATGTGAAGCTGTGAGTGGTATGTGTTGTTTTCATTTCTCTGACCATGGTACTATCGTTCACGAACACATCCAGGATTTACATGAGTTAGAAGACATTAAACAAGATACTGGTTTATTTGAGTATTGGGATTGGACCTTTGGCCTAGGCACCTGGTTAAGCTTGCTTGTTAAGAAAATATATTTTATAATAGTGATAGTTTTTATTATAACAGCTTTGTTTTTAACCTTTAAATTGCTGTAATGTCTCTGCTCTTCAATGTGTAAATCTAAACCTTTTCCCCGCAGCAGAATAATACAGTTTCCTACCTTAATTTTCTCTCCAGCGCCATCTGGTGGTAAAGAACAGGGGGCTTCACAGCTCAAATTCTATTCTGTGACACAGTGTGCTGCAGAATGGTGGAACTGTGGTGAAGCAATAATTTAATGGATATACTCCATCCGCAGCAGCACTTGGTGTCTAAAGAGGGGAAATGTGATGGACAAGATCCCTGTTTAGAAGATGATCCCCTGTTCTAGATAAACTTTGCCTTATTGTTTGTATTATGCTTCAAACTGCTGACAAACCTTTTTCTATCCAGTTTTTAAGACTACTTTTTCTCATTTTAGCAAACTGAGCAATTTTTTTACTTAAAACTTGTGCTTGCGAAAAATACAATCAGATAAGCATCCTGTGCTCCCCCTTCCTGCCTTCCTCCCTTTTTATTCCCTATCTTTCCTTTCATAAAAGGACTCAATTGACCCTCGAAAGAGTTCATTGAGGGAACCATGAATGCCAACATGTACTGTGAAATACTGAAGCAAAGCATGATCCCCCTCCCCTCTGAGACTGGGCTGCAGATCATTATTCCAACATGATAACAACCCCAAACCCACCTCCAGGATGACCACTGCCTTGCTGAAGAAGCTGATGGTAGAGGTGATGGATTGGCCAAGCATGTCTCTAGACCTAAACCCTATTGAGCATCTGTGGGACATCCTCACATGGACGGTGGGGGAGCGCAAGGTCTCTAACATCCACCAGCTCCATAATGTTGTGATGGAGGAGTGGAAGAGGACTCCAGTGGCAACCCGTGAAGCTCTGGTGAACTCCATGCCCACGAGGGTTAAGGCAGTGCTGGAAAATAATGGAAGCCACACAAAATATTAACACTTTAGACATTTCCACTTTGGGGTCTACTCACTTTTATTGCCAACAGTTTAGACATTAATGGCTGTGTGTTGATTTATTTTGAGGGGACAGCAACTTTATTATATAGGCTGTACACTTACTACTTTACATTGTAGCAGAGTGTCATCTCTTCAGTATTGTCACATGAAAAGATTTAATAAAATATTTACAAAAATGTGAGAGGTGTACTCACTTTTGTGAGATACTGTATATGGGGAAGGCTTAATGCACGCACAGCACTTTCCATGTATGCACATTAAGATCCCCCTTGAGCTGAAGTTGGAGCAGGTAGAGAGGGAGCCAGTGCCAAGGGACTTTTATGCTGGAATAACATATATGGCTCAAGGGTTTTTAACCCTTTCAGTGTTCCTTTAAACTTTAAACTTATTTCTTGGGTATAAATGAATAAACTGTACTTAAAATTTGAGAATTTTTCAAATAAGCATGAAGTTTTGTTTAGTTTTTTCTCCAAAGAAAGCTTTTATTTGAAATAAATAAATAAATAAATTGAATATGTATAAACAGGAAAAACAAAAGAACAAGATAATGGGCAGAAAACTATAGTGCATAATATTTTTGTATAAACCTTGGATAGTGTTATTTTAACCAGCCCAAGCTTCCGAAGAGCACAGTCTTTAGAACACAAATATGTAATGCCTAACTCTCTCTGGACTGCTGTTCGTCCTTGTAAACTGCTTTCAGTAGTTCTCTGTAAGGTACAACTTGACCCTCCAGCTGCCTGAAGTGGACTTTTACCTTCGGAATACATACATTTAGTTAGTTACATACAAACATTTTACAACTAGTTCTAGATTGTAATTAGCAAAACTTTTTATTTTACTTTATTGTGCCATTTGTTATTGTACATCAGGAGATTTTATTAAAGGACACGGAGGCTAATATTATATTTTATCTCTTTCTTTATTCCTCAGCAGCAAAGAAAGGATACTGTAAATATACAAAGGAAAAAAGTTAACATGTACCCTAGAGGGTTAACCACAATATAACATCTTATCCAATAGGAATGCTCCTTGTACTATAATGTCCCAAGTGACCTTCAGCCAATCCTCTTTCTTTGCTGCTGCCTCCTCAGCTAAGTATCACTCCAACAGTCTCTGTATTAATTGTAGTAATTTTTACCATATATCACTGTATTTGCCTAGTTTATTCAGTGTTTTGTTGTTTTTCTGTTTTGTTTCCTACTGTTTGTATTCTCTGGGAGCCCTACTGGCTCCCTCATTCCCTCACCACAGTTTGCTATCCCCTCAGCCTTCTGGTAGGGTTGTTTATTTCCCGACGTATTTCCTCTGCCTGCACAGAACCTGTGACTCTCTCACTGCCGGGTACCGCTATTTCAGCAGCCCCGGTGGGTCCCAAGAGCACATTGCAGCACCCATCTTGCGGTTGGCAGTTTTGCCGTGGCCAATATCGCTTGTTTGGGGGCGGGGTTAACCCGCTTGGTTGGCTGTGTTGCTGGGCAACCTAACGGTGTTCCTGAGGGAACTCTAAGTGAGCCTGTTTTCCTTTGGTCATTGTGCCTAGGAGCCTTCCCGCTATTCAGCTAAATACTGTCAGTGCCTACATATTCTTTTTCACTGCCACTATGGTACTGTTATCCAGCACTGTGGGTATGAGCTCCCTACTCTATCCTCAGGGTAATTTTCTCATTACTTTTTATCATATTTCCATATGCACTTCGTTATATTACTGTCATGCAGTCCCAAACGAGTTGTAAGTTTCCGTCGCCGGTTCTTCCACTAGTGTCACGAAATCCTCTACGCCCCTGATGGTGGCCAGTCCACCCACACATGCCATGCTGGATGAAGCATCTCAGGAGAAAATGAATTCAGAAGAGTTTCATTCCCTCCTGGATGCTACCATGGCGAAATCAGTGACTCCAGCTACTTTTTCAGCTATGGGGAAATTCACCCTCAAACCCCAGGTTTCCTGAGCAATCTCTTCCTAGTCCCCAAGAAAGGTGGAGGCATTCGACCTGTCATCAATCTACGACCTCTAAACGTTTTTGTCATATACCAACATTTCAAGATGAGGGGTATTCACTTTCTTCGAGACCTTCTCCTTTTGGAGGATTGGATGGTCAATCTCGACTTACAGGATATATACCTCACCGTTCCGATGGCCGAGGACTCACCAAGAATTCCTGCAATTTACGGTGGGAATAGACCATGTGGCAATTCAAATGCCTTCCATTCGGTGTCTCTACTGCCCCATGGTGCTTCATAAAACTACTGAAACCAGTAGTGGCCCTTCTGCGCAGCAGAGGAGTTCGCCTCATTTATACTTGGACGATATCTTCGTAATGGCACAGGACCCTCACAAGTGCCACGTACACCTGTCCAGGACGATGACTCTCCTGAGCAACCTAGGTTTCCTTCAATTGGGAAAGGTCGGTCTTCAAACCTTCTCAATCCATAGAATTTAATGTCCAGGACACTCCTACTACCACCCACCAAGATCAAATCCATAAAGAATGAATCCGTCGGACGCTAGCCTGTCCTTTCCTGACCGCTGGCCAGGATCATCGGCCTTCTCTCAGCACTGATTCAAGCCATTTCTCCCGGCCCGCTCTATTACAGAACACTTCAACGACTGAAAGCCAAACACATTCGTCATTCTTATTCGGACTCTGTTCCTCTCGACTGCACAGCCAAAGAGGAACTTCAGTGGTGGCTACATGGAGGCGTGGAACGGTCAACCAATCTTGGGAACCGCTCAAGACTTCATCATAGAATCAGATGCAAGTACGCTCGGCTAGGGGGCGCACGCTGCGGGCCTACCTCCACTGGGGGGAAATGGTGCCTGGAAGAACAAGAAATGCATATCAATTTCCTCGAACTGCTGGCAGGCTTATTTGCCCTACGGAGCCTCTTGGGTGTACCAACCAATTGCTTTTACAGAAGGACAACATCTCAGCAGTCCGGTACATCAACCACCTCGGGGACACAAAGTTAACTATTTTGGCAAACCAAGCAATGGAATTCTGGTAATTCTGCCTGGATCGCAATATCTCGGTGCCAGCGGAGTACATTCCAGGGAGGTCCAACATATTGGCAAATTGGAACTCCAGACACTTACGGGATGCCACCGATTGGCGGCTGAACCCTTCCGTTTCTTCTCTGTTTGCAGTCTCTCTGGGGCCCTTGGGAGATCAACCTATTCACATCACGTTTGAACTCCCACCTACTGAGATTTTTCAGCTGAAGACAAGATCCAGAGGCTCTTGCAGTAGATGCCTTCCTGCAACCATGACCGAGTAGTCGTCATTACGCTTTTCCATCCTTCTCTCTCATTTCTCGGACACTTCTACATCTCAGGCGTTACCAGACCTCCTTGATCTTCAAACCCCGTTATGGACAGCTCAGCCATGATTCCCAACATTCAAAGTAATGTCCATAGATTACTATTAGCTTGGGCCCAGGAAACAAGGAAATCCTATCTCCATGCCTGGGACTCATGGAATGGTTGGTGCATGGAACAACACATGGATCCCATATCTGCACCTGTGAGTCATGTTCTGAGTTTCCTCACTTAACTTTGGACCAGGAACTAGCATACCATATGATCAATATATATAGATCAGCCATCTCGGGAGGCCACCAGTGTTGGAACGGATTTCCAGCATGTAAACATCTTTGGTATGTCGACTCCTTCATGGCATCAGGTTTGCACGTCCTCCACATCCTAAATATACCTCCATATGGCAGGTGGGACTCGTACTTCAACTATCTGAAAATTGGCCTCAAACAAAGGCCTTCAAGCAGCTCACAGAAAAAAGTAGTCATGTTGTTTTGTCTCATCTCCTGCACACATGTCTCAAACGTTCATGCACTGGACATTACAGCACGTTCCTTTACTCCAGATGGTGTTTCCTTTGTCATTTCAAGACATACGAAAACATCCATTAGCTCGGTCTTTTATACAGCTCTTGCACATAATGTTAACCTCTGCCCAGTGGCCTGTCTTAAGGAATATGAGGAGACCACCTCCTCAGTACATGAGCCTCAATATGCTGATTTATTTCTAGCCCTTCAATGCTCACATCAAACTGTTTCTACAATTACCTTATCTCGTTGGGTCAAATGGATCATGACGTCGGCTGACATTGACACTTCCACATATGGAGCACACTCTGTCGAGGCGCTATGGCATCTAAAGCCTTCACCTTAGGCTGCAGGCTAGAAGACCTCCTCCATGCTGCTGATTGGTCCCTGGAATCTACTTTTCGGGAATCCTATTTTCGTCCAGTTAAATTTTTTCCACTACGGTTGGTTGCACAGCTTTGAACAAGCATAATATGAGCCTACGTGTCCTTTAATAAAATTACCAGATTTGACTAATTTCATGGCGTAAAGTCATGATTTTATTAAGGATACAGAGTATTATCTCACCAGATACAGGTATGTTACACCCTCCCTGGGTTATATGTATTATTTTTACAAGAAGTATGCAGTCTTTTTCGGGTATTGTTATTGTTCACCTAATTGACTAATTTCTGTTGACGTTAATGTTGACGAATCAGATATACTATTGATACTTGATACTTTGTGGATAAGATTGAATATCCAAGAGCATATTTTACCACTTATTTCTCTGTCTTTACAGCCTCCTATTTGGTTCAATATACGTTCAATAAGAGGATTGCAAGTTATCCGCTAAGTTATCGCATCTAGTTGGTCGTACATTGCAGTCTTGTGGAGATATTCATAGGCATCATTAAGAAAGATGATTGGCTGAAGGTCACATGGGACATTATAGTACAAGGAGCATTCCTATTGGATAAGATGTTATAGTGTGGTTAACCCTCTAAGGTACATGTTAACTTTTTTCCTTTGTATATTTACAGTATCCTTTCTTTGCTGCTGAGGAATAAAGAAAGAGATAAAGCATAATATGAGCCTCCGTGTCCTTAATAAAATCATGACTTTACATCATGAAATTAGTAAAATCTGGTCATTTCTAATCACGTTTGACACTTGCATACTTCTTACACAACTGACTGACACGCAAGGTCACTTGTAAAGTATTCTTTATTTAGAGTGCACATTTTATTTCCGTTAATAAACAAAGATTTTTTTAACACAAGGCAGGACTCTTGTACACAAACTTCACAAATTTGGTTACCCTATGCTCAAAGTTATATTGCCAGCTTGCTTGGTATCTTCTAATGGAGAACAACTTCTTAAATTGAGTATTTTAACAATTTAAAAAGAACCCAGCAAAGGCAAGACTTACTTGATTGTTTTTATGAAAAATATAGATCCTTATCTAGATATGTTCCCTTCTCTACAGTCTTGATGAGTGCAACACCCTCTTGCGTGGTTTTCCAATCTCACTCCTGTCCACCTACAATTGATAGAGAAGGTTGATACCATATTATCTTAAATTTTGCAAACACTTGTAAGCAATTATAGTCATACTCTACATCTTGTATCATTTAATGTAAAGTTAATTCCTGTTTATAAAGTGCTATAATACTATATATGTTTATCGTTATAGCCCTGTATTCACTGTTTGACTTAACAAGCACTGAGCTCTTTCGTAAAGTCATATGTTGTATTTGATAGCTCCACCTCTTCTGACAGTACATTCCATATCTTCATTATTTTTACCATATAAACCTTTCCACTTGGAGTTTTCATGTCCTTTAATCAAGCCTTACAAGATGGCCTTGTGGCCTTTATAATTATAGTTGTTTGTAAAGTGCTGACAAAGTCTGCATTGCGGATTGTTAAATGATGTAACAAAGGTTTATTCTAACGCGCAGAAATAAATTGCTCTTGTAGGTTTTGAGAGCCCTGCCAAAAGGCTTACAATCTAAAAAATGTACAGTTCTGTTAACAGGTCAGGAGCTGTTTGCATTGATCAAGAATGTTATCATGTCCTACTCAAGACTTTCTTTTTAGTTTAGAAAAATTTAACTTTTTCATAATAAGTCATTAATTCCCCTTAATAATTTTGTACTACATATTTTACAATCCATGTATTTTTTTTAATGGTGTCAAACACTGCACTACATACCAAAGGTGTGATTTTCTAAATATATAAAAAGCAAAATAATATTTTCTTCTTGAAAGTCAATACAGTTTTTTAAAAATTAGTGTTTTACTAGCCTTCAATCTCTGACTGATACTGTTTATTGTTAACACGTTTGTTGTAAATAATTTATAATTATCATCAAAAAATATCCTTAAAGCAACATTATGTAATGTAACTTGTAATCTGTCACTTGCCTGCCCAGTCTCTTTTTATTCTAAATCCCTCTGTAGAGAATTAAAATCCAATTTAGAGTGCATCATGTTACCAAGGTAGGTTATTGGCATGCATTATATTCAATGCAAAATCATTGCAGAAATCAAAAGTCACCTACCACTTTTGTCTAATTTACATGAGCACTAAGCACCATAATCATTGCAGTACGCTGTTGCAGTTATGGTGAGAGCATGCCCCTGGTGTTTTCACCCAGTTATGTGTCAAATCATTTTTGAACAGTTAGACCCAGGCACCTGAGGCTCAGTTCCTCACTGTCCATATCACTACACTTCTGAATAAGCAAATACATTTTTTTCAGGTTTAGATGGCATTCATCAGCTTAGTCTTTTAACTGACACAAAACTGATATTACTAATGTGGTAATGTAACTGCCAAGATAGAGACATGGATGGCGAGAGGCCATGTCACAGGCACCCTTGGTTTGTATCACACCATTCGAAAACCATTTGACATATAACCAAGGATCTGTGTTAGCGGCCTGTGGGCACCATAACCACTGTGACTGGTTGTAATAGCTATAGTACTTATAGTACCCATTTAATAAATTTTCATTGACAACTCTCTGTATTCTATTGTTTATAATATTTTTTTCCCATCCATTTAAACACAGATTTGTATTTTAAAGGATCATTAGAGTGTCAGGAAAACAAACTCATTTTCCTGACACTATATAACCCTTAGGTGTGTGTGTCCCCCTCACCCTTAGGGTCCCCCTCCTGCTGTCAAGAAGATAGCCACTAGAGGCTGGATTAACCCTGCAATGTAAACATAGCAGTTTCTCTGAAACTGCTATGTTTACAGCTGTAGCGTTAAAACCTGGGGGACCTGGCACCCAGACCACTTCTTTGAGCTGAAGTGGTCTGGGTGACTATAATGTCACTTTAATTAACATCTTTGCATTGTTTTTTACCTAACTTTCCAGACTGTTTGTTCCCATCTGTACATGTCTCTTCTCTGAGATAAGTTTAAAATATTTTGCATTATTTGTCTTTGTTCAGCAATTATTTGCTTTGGTTGAAACTTGCAATATTTTTCTAGACTACTGATATTGATTATTGGGTCAAGAAGTGCTGCATTTCAAAATATAATATAATGTCAGCACTTTTCCTGCATGGTGGCCATAAAGCTACTGCAGAACTACAACTCCCGTATGCGGATCTAGTTTTTTATTACAAAAATTTGAAGCCCATATTTTTGGACATCCTTGTTCTCTGGTATTCTTTTGATTGTCTGTCTGTCTAAATAGAGTTCTTTTGTTTGTGTCCTTATATAGGTTTTTAAAACGTATAAAATGTGCATACTTTATATTTCTGTCTTCTATTTTCTGTTATGTTTGGTGTGGTTGGTCAAACCAACAGTATTGTACTTCCACCATCTGTGTGCCTACCACATCTCTTCATGTATGATGTTAACTACTACCAGTAAATTCATAATTCCAAATAGTTATATAATTTTTCAAATTGTAGGACCACACTTAACCTTATACTGTACCAGTTCATTCAGAAATGTAGACTATATTGGCAATTTAGCTGAACCTAAAATGGAAACATATATACAGATAGTTACTTTGTATTAATTTTTAAGTCATTTACCAACAGAGTGTCAATTGTAAGCAGATACAAATCTAAATTTTATAACAAGACAGGAGGCTCGTATTATGCATTAACTTTCTTTACTTAACTCTAGCAGCAAAGACATTTTTTCAATAAAGTTTAGTGAATAAAAAAGATAAAAATAACAGAGTAACTGAAATGGAACATTGGTAGCCAATCAGCATCCAGCATAGTATATATAGTGAATGATCCCCAATATTCTCCCTCTTTCTTTGCTGCTCCAGTAGAGATAAGTATATTATATATTCACTTATGCTACTGTTTTCTATACATAGATGCATACCTCACGGTACCTATTCACCACTCATGTCAGAAATATTTACAGTTCCTATGGCAAGGGAAGAAATGGCAATTCAAATCATTGCTATTTGGTTTATCCTCTGCACCTTGGTGTTTCACCAAATTACTCAAACCAGTAATATCCCTACTTCGAAGCAGGGGACTAAGAAAGATAATCTATCTAGACGACATATTGATTATGTCACAGAGTGTGCAAACTCTTTACCTACATTCTCAATGGACACTGAATCTGTTAACAAGCCTTGGCTTTGTAATAAATTACGAAAAATCGATTTTAACTCCCTCTCAGGAGATAGAATTTTTAGGATTTCTAGTGAATTCCAATTTAGCCACTCTCAGCCTTGCATCACGGAAATTGAAAACGATTTGAAAAGAGATCAGGTCAGTTCTGAAGAAGGAATTAATTTCCATCAGGTCTTTCACGGATTGTAGGTCTTTTATCAGCCTCAATCCAGGCTATCTTTCCAGCCCCCCTTCACTATCGGGCTCTTCAAAGATTGAAAAGAGAACATCTACGCAACGGTCTCCTCTATTCAGAAGAGATTTCTCTAACTTCAGAGACAAGAACAGAACTATCCTGGTGGTTAGATCATGTTCAAATTTGGAACGGGAAAGCCATTTTCACGTCATTCCCAGACCTAACTATAGAATCCGACGCAAGTCGATTAGGCTGGGGAGCCCGTTGTGGAGGCAATTCCACAGGAGGCAAATGGTCTCTAGAAGAGACGAATATGCATATAAACTGCCTGGAACTCATGGCAGGGTTTTTCGCTCTACGCAGTTTTGCAAAACACAAATCCTATTGTTGTATCCTTCTCAAGATGGACAACATATCAGCAGTCCAATATATAAATCGCTTAGGAGGTGCAAAATCCAAGCAACTGGCGGACATTGTCAAAGAATTATGGCATTTTTGCCTCCATCGAAACATAACGTTACGAGCAGAATACCTTCCCGGCCTTTCCAATACAGTAACAGATTGGAATTCCCGTTTCCTAGTGGATTACAGCGACTGGATGTTGGATAGAAACATAGAATGTGACGGCAGATAAGAACCATTCGGCCCATCTAGTCTGCCCAATTTTCTAAATACTTTCATTAGTCCCTAGCCTTATCTTATAGTTAGGATAGCCTTATGCCTATCCCACGCATGCTTAAACTCCTTTACTGTGTTAACCTCTACCACTTCAGCTGGAAGGCTATTCCATGCATCCACTACCCTCTCAGTAAAGTAATACATCCTGATATTATTTTTAAACCTTTGTCCCTCTAATTTAAGACTATGTCCTCTTGTTGTGGTAGTTTTTCTTCTTTTAAATATAGTCTCCTCCTTTACTGTGTTGATTCCCTTTATATATTTAAATGTTTCTATCATATCCCCCCTGTCTCGTCTTTCCTCCAAGCTATACATGTTAAGATCCTTTAACCTTTCCTGGTAAGTTTTATCCCGCAATCCATGAACCAGTTTAGTAGCCCTTCTCTGAACCCTCTCTAAGGTATCAATATCCTTCTGAAGATACGGTCTCCAGTACTGTGTGCAATACTCCAAGTGAGGTCTCACCAGTGTTCTGTACAATGGCATGAGCACTTCCCTCTTTCTACTGCTAATACCTCTCCCTATACAACCAAGCATTCTGCTAGCATTTCCTGCTGCTCTATTACATTGCCTACCTTTAAGTCATCAGAAATAATCACCACTAAATCCCTTTCCTCATATGTTGGGGTTAGGACTCTATCAAATATTCTGTACTCTGCCCTGGATCCCAACATCTTCCAACGACTACTTGCTCTGTGGGGTCCATTTAAATACGACCTCTTTGCATCATGACTCAATCGCCAACTAGAAACATTTTTCAGTTGGGGTCCGGATCCAGAAGCAGTAGATCAAGATGTTTTCCTCCAATGTTGGAAAGACGGAATCAATTATGCTTTTCCCCCGTTTACGATGATATCCCGGGTACTTCTGAAAGCATGGTCCCAGAAATCGACCTTAGTAGTTATAACCCCTCTCTGGCCATCACAACCATGGTTCCCTCAGCTTCTCAGCATGCTGATAGACTACCCACGACTCATACAGATGCGTCAGGATTCTCTTCGCAATCCGGAGGGAAATTTTCATCTTCTAGTGCTGTCGGGCCAACTACCTTTGATTGCATCTCTCATTTTGGGTCATTCGAATCTCATAGTGAATTTTCAAACACTACTAGAGACATTCTCTCAGAAGCATGGGCACCGGGAACCCGTGCAAATTACAGATCAGCCTGGAAAATTTGGCTTAATTGGTGCATGGGATGGGCAGTGGATCCCATACATTCAGATTTAGTAAACATTCTAAATTTTTTGTCAGCCTCTTTTGACTCAGGGAAAGCTTATCGCACCATTGTCTATAGATCTGCTATCTCAGCAAATCACGACCCTATTTAATTTTTCCCTGTGGGTAAACATCCTTTAGTCTGCAGACTTATGAAGGGTATCAGATTTAAACGTCCTCCATGCCCTAAAGAAAAATTCCACCTGGGATGTTACTCTGGTACTCCAGTTAATAGAATCATGGGGTGCCAATGACTCATTATCCTTAAAATTGCTTTCGTTTATGCTTACCACATTACTATGTCTCATCTCTTTCAAAAGAGTTTTTGACGTTAAGGCTTTAGACTTAAATAATAGACAATATACTCCTGATGGTGTTCATTTTTCTATTGTTAGACGTACCAAAACTAATCTCCGCACTGTATTCTATCCTTCATTTTCTGACCATCCTCTTCTATGTGTTGTTAGTTGTCTTTAAGCATATGAGTTTAAAACCTCTTTGATTCAAAATTCTAATTTCTCGCAATTACTAATCTCTTTTCGTAAACCTTTTCTGCCTGTCTCCTCTACATCTTTAGCTAGATGGGTACGACAAACTATGTCTATGGCAGGTATATTTTAGACCTATGGATGGATTGGGTAGAATAATCTAGCCCTGGAGAGTGGAGAAAATGGATATAATTGGGATAGGAATAAGTAAGTAAAGGGTCTCTACTAGTAAAGATAAGCCCCATAAAAGCTCTTGAAAATAAATACATAAAATTAGGTATAAAAACCTACATGTACCAGGAGATCCCTAAACCAATAAAAGGTGAAGTCTAATATACAAATAAATAGCTATAAAAAGTGAAGAGCGAAGTAAAACCAATACAGATAGAGGAATTGGCAATAGCAAAAGATGCAATCTAAAAAACGAGCACTAGATGGCAGCCAAGTACTGAGTAATAGTGATATTTTAGATCTAGCCTGCATGTTTCAAAAATAATATTGTAATAACTTCTGATGTATTTTATATTATGACTATTTAGCTTTGAACATGCATAATACGAGCCTCCTGTCTTGTTATAAAATTCAAGATTTTCCTAGTCTTGACGTCAGAAAATATAGATTTTATTAAAGACATGAGGCGAGTATTATCCCTCCCATTAACCCACCCTGTTATTTATGTTTCAGCTTAATCCTGTTTGGAGTTTTGTCATTCTTATCCTTGGAGTTACTCTGCTAGACACTTCTTCTAGATTCGCAGCTCGAAAGAGGGAGAATATTGGGGATCATTCACTATATAGACTATGCTGGATGCTGATTGGCTACCAATGTTCCATTTCAGTTACTCTGTTATTTTTATCTTTTTTATTCACTAAACTTTATTGAAAAAATGTCTTTGCTGCTGGAGTTAAGTAAAGAAAGTTAATGCATAATACGAGCCTCCTTTCTTTAATAAAATCTATATTTTCTGACGTCAAGACTAGGAAACTCTTGAATTTTAAGATCAATCTTCAACTGTATAAGGATAGCATTTTGTTTTGGGCTGGTTTATATGCAAATAATGTACTCTCAGTATAGTATTCATAGAAAAATAAGTTCTTCATGTTAAAGCAAAACGGCATTGAGTGATGGCATCATGAAATTGTTTGACTGTGGAAATAAATTATTAAAATGCTACAGAATTAACTGAGCCTATGGATCTTTTGTGGTTCATCATTGCTACTAAATCTGCTCTATAAAAGAACCTTGATATTGGGAAGTCATGGTGAACGGGCAGACCCATACCTCTTGAAAACCAGAATCTATCCCAACAAACAGGGAATCCAAGTTAAAGCGGACCTGTTACCTGAAAAAAAATAAAAATAAAATAAAAACTTTACATTAATTACTATTGCATAAAATACAGCTATATATTGTGTTAATTGGTTCTTAAAATAGTTCAGCAGTTAATGTATTTAAATAATTATTTCTTCTATTGTCTATCTTTAGAGCTTATCTATAATGCTGACATGCACTTAACTGTATTGTTTTCATTTGCCTGCTAACTAGACTTGTGCATGACAAAAAATAAAAAAATTTAACGGTTCATCGCAAAAACATTTTATTTGGGTGGCATTTCAGTTTAGACAAATGTCATGGATGAACCAAAATATACCTATTAACGTACTGCAAAGCACAAAATAAAATCAGATTCTTCTCAGGACCTTCCGTTTTGTATTTATTTGTTAAACTTTATACGATATATGAAAGAGAAAAAAAATCAGCAATCACCTTGAACATTACAAAAACTACAATATAGACAGATTTTATGCTCTTTAAATTAAAGCTTTAAAAAAGATTGTATGCTCTTTAAATTAAAGCTATAGAAAATAGCTATATGCAAGAAAAAAAACTGATCACCTTAAACATTACAAAAACTACAATATAGACAGATTTTATGCTCTTTAAATTAAAGCCAAAAATAAACAATATTATCAACAGAGCATAAACTTGTCTACATGTTGTAATAAAACAATTAAAAAAAAGAATACAGTCAAGCATGCACTAGATGACCTCTATTAGATGGATCATATCTCAACTTTTTAAATCTTTGTTAACTTAATTCAAAACTGGCGCAGAAAACATGCACTAAGCTACTAGGTATGTTTCGAAAATGATGATTGCGTAATAAGTTTCAATACAGTCAGGATGAAATAACTAAAAATATATCAGATACTGCTGAATGTTTAAAAAATGTTAACACAACATATAGACTTTTTTATGCTCTCTTGATTAACGCAAAGTTTTGTTGTTTCCCTTGTCTTGTAGGGGATAGAGCTGATGTTCTGCAATTTTGCTGTATTTTCTGGTGATGGATCACTTTAATAAGTCTGTTAAACCGTGTGAGATAATCAATTTAAAGGGTAAAGAGTCACCTTAAACATAAGGAAAAAAATGTACATTGGGAAAACAGTTTTTTCTAATTATGTGGCAGAACTTTAAACAAACCAAAAAAGCTTATTAAACCACAATAACAAGCATATTTTAACTAAATACCATTATCTTCTAAAATAAAACTGGTACTTAGGAACAGACACCGGTTCCATCAGAAATACCTCATGACGTATTTACAACAGGTTGAGAAACTATGTTGTAGATAACAACACACATGAATAAAACATATTTACTATATAGACAATTTATTGAAAGGTGTATCATATTAATGCCTGTGATATGCTAAGAATACTCTAAAGCATAAATGATAAATGTTATAAATTTTAAACAGAACAGGTTCATAAATAACACTTCAATCTATGGTCCATTCCCTAAACAGTGATACGTGGTAAATCGATAACTACATTTACAACTAAAAAATAGCATTGCCAGTTGCTAGTTTACAAAATTACATAGCAATATACTCTTAAAAACACAATTAAGTCCATCAAGTTCAGCCTTTACACACCTATTCTGCTTTTGATCTGAAAGAGGAAAACCCCAATTTAAAGCAATTTCAAATTTTCACAATTTTTGGGGGAAAAATAAATCATTTAATGTGGCAGCCAGATTTCTCCACATATTAAGACGTTACTCCACACATTATCTATTATATGTTTGAATAGCATGGCTATAATACAGTTTGGATATTTTGAACTAAATGTGGTTTTCAATTTACCATGATTATTTACATAATAAACCTCAAAATAAAAAATACCAATACAATTCTGACAGCTCTGTATTTTTTTTATGCCCTATCAATGGACTTAGAGCCAAACAGATAGCCAAAGAGGCACAGGAAAAACATGCAAGAAAAAAAAAGAGAAATGGTAATAGAAACAAACATAGACGTGTGTCAGTTCCCAGCTTTAAATGGGCATGTTAGGTGCAAGATGTAAAAAATTGTTTATGCTAAGAGAGTTTCTTTTTTTTTTTTTATGACCATTAAAACATAGATACATTTTCCAAAATTCTGCTCCACCCTGTTGGTCCCTTTATCCAACTGTAAGGTTTCTGTTTTTGCTCCAAAAATATTGATACAGAAATTGTTTCGCTTTCTACAGCAAAGCTATCACTTCCCAGGGATTTTAATGTTATATATACACTTCTCACTATATTTCATAAAGAAGGATTTGTCAGATAGGAAAAATTAAATTGTATGTAGAAATCAGCACCTATTTATTTTGTAACTGGACAATCATTGTTATAGGTTCTGTCCTTTGCACCTCAGCATGGAGAAAGCATGCAGAAAAGAAGAGAAAATAAACAATCTTTCTATTTCTCCTCTTCATTTGCAATATTTACCCTGGTTATGCCTTGTTTCAAAGGAACATTATAGCATTAGGAACACAAATCTGTATTCCTAAAGTTTTTCTTACCTTTTTTTCTGGAGGCAAGAAAGAGTCGCCTGCAGCCACTCAAATTGCCTCTCACGATATCGTGACGACACTTCTAAAATTCTGATCCAATGCTCCTCAAACTGGAGTATTGGAGACTAAAAGTGCACTCACGACCAGTGGCAGTATGCGTCACTCCAGGGGGCCCGGCTGGAGCTGCGATCCCTGTGACCATGGGCCAGTTGGGTGGTACAGCCACTTCACATGTAAGGGGCCCAGGCCACCTGAGGGCTCCCGGGAGCCCGTGCTCCTTACATATGCTGCCCCCTCCCTGGATGCTGATAGGACACAGGAAGGGGTAGATATACTAAATATATATATTTTTTTAAAGCCCCTATCCTATCCAGCAATTACGCTCTCACACACAATGCATTCCTACATACAAATACACACACACACAATGCATCCCTACATACACACACACACAATATGCATCCCTTACACACACAGAAACCTGTCCTTTAAACACACAGAAACAGAGACTTCTTACTGAGATGGAGGCAATGACACACATGGGGGGGCTGGGGGGAATGAGATGCATGAAGGGGTTGGGGGGATTTGGACGCTTGGGGGGCGAAGGGGGGCCCAGGGCAAGTTTTGCACCGGGGCCTAGTGATTTCTAGTTACCCCTCTGCGCACGACAGCATTGCACTCACAGTGGAAGCACCTTTAGTGGGTGTCAGGCAGACAGCCACAAGAGGCGTAATTAATTCTGAAATGTAAGCATTGCGTATCTACTAAACAATAGTGTTTTACATTGCATGGTTAAAACTAAAAGATCACTTAAATGATGCCCATAAATTAATGCTTATGTGAAAAGCTCAACAATGCTATAGACATTTGAAAAAACGCTTCATCTCAATTAAGTGATTTGGGTGCCCCCGATTTTAACCCTGCAGCTGAAAACATCACCATTCTGCAAGAATGACAATTGTTTTTTTGCAAGGTTAATCTGCCTCTAATGGCTGTCAATACATCAACCAATAGAGGTGCTCAGTGAAATAGAGTAAAAATTCTGCTCTTTCAATCAAATGGTCTCAGAAAAACCATCTGATTGGCACAGTGAACCGTTTTGCCATGCATATGCACTAGCTTCCCAATGCTTTCCTATATACTTATATATTTATAATTAGCGCTTTAAAAAAATAAAAAAAAATACTTCACATGTCATTCATTTGCTGGGTGTCCATATTTTGAAGTGAGATATTTCCAGACCAGGAACTAGCACAGCCGGAGAGGACGCTGTCTTCCTGGTCATATCATATTATTATTTTTGGCATTTATATAGCACCAACAAATTCTGTAGCACTTTACAATATTATAGGAGGGGGAGATTTAACAATAAATTAGACAATTACAAAAAATTACAGGAACAATAGGATGAAGAGGACCCGTGCTTACAGTTTATAGGAGGTGGGGTATAAAACACAACAGGACAGGAGATAGCAATCAAACAAGGTGGGAGTGAGGCAGAGCGGGAAGAGAGAGTAGAGTGCTGGCCTTAGGAAAGAGCAAGGGACGGGTATGTGAGGTAGAGCTTACTCTGGGAGGCCATAAGCTTTCCTGAATAGTTGGGTTTTAAGGCATTTTTTAAATGATAGAAGACTAGGGGAGAGTCTGATGGTGGTAGGCAGGCTATTCCAAAGGTAGGGAGCCTCCCGCAAGAAGTCCTCTAGG